AGGCTGAGGATTGGACAGAGTTTGATTCTGCTACAAACTTCCCCAGCTATTCCAGAGCCTCTAAATAGGGCAATAAGCTGCCCTGTCCCCTGACCACCAACTCTCTGGCAGTGGTGGTCCATGGTGGTAGCTTCTGGTTATGTCTTCGTAGATCTTTCCTAAGGTTATCTAGAAGTCTGGAGCCTGTCCCCTTTGGATTCCTGTAATGTTTGTCGTTCGTACGTTTCGTACATTTCATCTTCATTGTCGCCATCATTGTCGTCTTTTGTTGTTGTCGTCTTTGTCTTCTTCGTCTTATTCTTTTTAGACCTGGCCCGCTGTAGAATTAGTCAGAAATGAAGTGCATGCATTCTTCGTTTGGGTAGGTAACCCCTCTTCTAGAACAGATAAAGGTAGTAAACTCTAGAAGGGAAGTAACCATCCAAAAGTCCTATGGATCCGAGCAGGAAAGAGCAGATGGGCACTATAGCTTCTAGAGAGCTCATCTTCCTATCTCAAGTCTGACCAAGTAGAATAAAGCTGGAAATGGGGACCCATCTCTTCCAGGACCATCTCATTGGCTTACCTGGAAGCCACCGGGCCTCTAGAGAGGGGCTTTAGATGGATCTGATCTACATGTAAGTCTCCTTAGTCTCTTCCAAGGTTTGGGTAGTCCACATGTCTGGGGCCTGGAGTACAGACATGTTGGCATTGATGTCCATCCCTTCCCATATAAAGGCAGCCTTAGGCTTGAAGATATTCAGGAACTCTGACAGTGTGTGTGTGTGTGTGTGTGTGTGCGTGTGTGTGTGTGTCTGGGGGCTTGAGACAAGGTTTCATTATGTAGTGGAGGCTGGCCTTGAATTCACTATGTAGTCTGGGCTGGCCTCATATTCACATTCTTTCTACATTGAAACATATAGCAGGCCTTTGTAGTATTGCATTTGGGTGCTGGAGTGAAAAGACTCTGATGTTTTAGGGTACTGAAAACTTTTTTTTTTTGATGTTTGGTAATTGTCACCTCACAGCTTGGTCTTATTGTGGAAACTAAATTGATTGAAAAAGTAAGTAGCAGTTAGTCCTTTGTCATTTTTTGTGGTCTGTTCATTCCAACTCTAGTCCTAACCTTTGGGGATAAGGCTTAGTTTCTATGAAGTGGAGAACAGGAAGAATAAATCCCTGGGCAAATAGTAGCTATAAGGGTTGGTGTTTGACTTAGATCAGCAGTGTAAGTAATATGTGATCTGTCTCTTGGAGTTTCTTTTATTTCTTTTATTTTTTTTTGGTGGAACTGGAGATTGAACTCAGGCCCTTGTGCTTGCCAGGGAAGCGCTTGTCCCACTGAGCTATCTCCCGGCCCCTCTTGGAGTTTCTATCAACTTAGGCTGTCTTTTCTTCATTTTAGACTTTCAGAAGCCTATTTCAGTCTTTTTTTTTGCTCCGAATGCCTTCAGGGCAGGTTTGGCTGGCTTGAGTTGTGGGGATCGAACCACAGCAACCTGAGCCTGACTGCTTTGTTGAAGTAGCCACTTAAAGAACTGAGCTAAGAGGCAGGCGCCCCCCCCCCCATTTCAGTCTTTAAGAAAGATAAATTCATCAGGCAGTGTTGTGCAAATTTATAAGCCCAGCAGTCTGAGCATCTGAGGCAGGAAGATCTTGAGTTATGTCCTAGCCTAGACACATGAATTTATTGGCCGGCCCAGTCTGGCTGTTATTGAATGAGGTTTATGAATTTAGTGAATCCTGTCTCAAAATATAAAAGGGCTGGGGATGTGTGTAGCTCAGTGTGAAGGCCCTGGCTTTAATCCGTATCCCCCAAAGTAGTTTTATTTATTAGAAATCTAGTCTTTTATGTATTATTTTAAAAACAAATTGGGATGTGATTTAGCAATGAAGAAATATTGTATGTATTGAAAGAGTATGGGGCCTGAAGTCAAAACACCTGACTTAAATCTTAGTTGCTGTTTCTTTGAATAAGTTGAATTTTTGTGTTTTATTTATTAATGAAAAGACAAAATGACACTTATTTTGTCTACTTTCCATAAATGTGAGAAAAAGTGAATAGCAATGACTTATCTTGGGTGAGACTCTTCATTTCCAAGTTTTAATTTTCTCATCTTTAAATGAGAAGAAATCTAGTTCTAAAATTTTAGTATTGGTTTTTGTTTGAAACAGTTGTGGAGTGATTCTAAAATGTTTTCTACTTGGTGTGCTCATCATGTGAACCCTCTCGGTCCCCTCAACAGGCAGTGGTAGTGGTGCAGAATGGCTGACCTCAGTCTTGCAGATGCGTTAACAGAGCCACCTCCAGAAATCGAGGAGGAGATCAAGCGGGACTTCATGGCCACCCTGGAGGCAGAGGCCTATGACGATGTTGTGGGGGAAACTGTTGGAAAAACAGATTATATTCCTCTCATGGATGGTGAGGAGAAGACTGGGAACTCAGAGTCAAGGAGGAAACTATGCACAGATACCAACGAGGTTGAAGGTAAGTATTTCAGCCAAACTCCACATGTCTGTTCAGAAAGAAGACTGGAGTTATACTTTGTGCCATAATCGTAGAAACCCTGAAGAAAATGAATTTAGGTTAGTAAGAAACCAAGGAGATGATTAACTGAAGGGTGGTGAGTCTGTCCAAACCTTTTAATCGTAAGGTTTCTTCTGTAGGCTGGCGAGATAGCTCCGTGGTCTAAGCGCCTGCCTGGCAAGCGCAAGGACCCAGATCTGATCCCTGATGCTGCATGCTATGCTGGCCCCAAAACCCATATGCCTGTAACCCCAGTGCTGGGGAACCTGAGCCAGGAGAACCACTAGGTGTAGCAAGACCCTGAACTAGATAAGTAGATAGATAAATAAATGAGCAAATGAATGGATAAAAAATTAAAATTTCTTTTATAATGTTTCAGTGATCATATAATTTTAACTTTTTAAATTTTTTTTTTTTTTTTTCGGAACCGGGGTTTGAATTCAGGCCCTTGTGCTTGCCAGGGAAGCACTTATTCCACTGAGCCATCTCCCCGGCCCTAAAATTGTTTTTAATTTCCCTAAATAAAGATGCTTGCTGAGCCTTTTTTGAAAGTAGTATTGGGCTGGGTATAGTGCTGCATGACTGTAGTCCCAGCACTTGGGAGGATGAGGCAGGAGAAATGAGTTTGAGACCAGCTAGGACTACATAGAAAGTTTAACGTGAACTACATAGTAACACCTTGTTTCAAAAACAACAAAAGTTTTATACTGTTAGATACATAGAATTCTGTACTTACATTAGAATTTAAAACTAGAATCAGACGTTACTGTTTTGGGGGTCATTCTAGAGCAGGATTAAAATATGAAGTAAAGATATTTCAATCTTCATATATTCTGGGTGGATTTGTTATTTGGTTGAAAATTTATCATTGTTTTGTTTTAGAATTCACGTCATGCTGACTTTGTAAAATAAGTTAGCAAAGTTATCTGTTTTCTAGGCTAGTATAGAATTGATTTTTTTTCTTTGTAGCGTTTGATAGAATTCATCAATAAAAACATCTCTGATCTGTGTCATTTTTTGTTGACCTTTAAACTAGGAATTAAGTTCATTTTATTTTTTTGTTTTGATGTTTTTAAGACAAAGATTTACTATGTAGATTAGTGTGGCTGGTTGTTTTTTTTCCTTTTTTTTTTTTTGTATTTTAGGGAAGGTCTATAGGGTGTTCAGAGTCTCACTACTAGATATGACTCATAGTGATCCTCTTTGTTTACAGCATCCCAAGACCTGGGATTATAGGCATGTACCACCACGCCCAGTCTAAATTGCCATCTCAGCATGCCTGGGCGTGGGACCAGCATGGCAGGCCTTGGGATCGAACCCCCTCGGCCCCTGTGCCTGCTTGCAGGCTCTTTAATCCACTAAGCTATTTGGCCAGCTAAGTCTGGCTGTTATTGAATGAGGTCTACTTGTTTGATAGGTTTCTGTATCATTTATGAGAGACAGATATTGGACTATATGTCATTTTTTGGATTCATTTCAATTTTCCCTTCAGTCCTGTCTTTTTGCGACAGGGTCTTGTTATGCTGTTCAGGCAGGCCTTGAGCTCATTTTGTAGCTCAGACTGCTCTGGCTTTGAATTTGTGATCCTCCTCTTTCAGTTTTCCAAGTACTGGAGTTGCAGGTATGCACCATCATGCCTGGGCTCAGTGTCCCATGTATATACATTTTGATTGTCATCTTGATTAAAATTGACCTTTTGGGCCATAGTGATAGCTCAGTGGTCTGAGTACCTGCCTGGCAAGCTCAAGGACCCAAGTTTGATCCTACTGGCCCTGGAACCCTGGGCATGGTGGTGCATGTGTGTAATTCCAGTGCTGCGGAGGCTGAGACAGGAGTCTTTATAAGTCTGAACTGCATAGTGAGACCCTGTATCCAATAAATAAATAAATAAGTAAATGGCTTTTTAAACATCCTCCCCCCGTGTGTATTAGGAAAGGGTCTACAGGGTGTTCAGGGTCTCACTACTAGATTGGACTTGTAGTGATTCTCCTCTTTAGAGCCTCCCAAGTGCTGGGATCACAGGGGTGCACCACCATGCCCAGTCTTAATCACCAACTCAGCATGCACCCGGGGTGTGGCTGGCACGGCAGGCGTGGGGATTGAATCCCCCGCCCCTGTGAACATTCCATAGTCTCTTTTTTCTTGGTAATATTGCTTGTTCTGAAGTCTCATTTATCTTGTTAATAAAGTCAGTTCATCTTTTTTGTTAGTGTGTGTTTGTCATATCTATCTCCCTTTTATTTTGTACTTATTTCTTTTTAAATATTTAATAAATGTGGATTTCTTATAGAAAGCATGAAGATAGAATTTTCTTTTTAATCCAGTCTGAGACTTTCTGTCATATTCTTGGTATATTTAGGTTGTTTACATCTATTCTGATTATTACTATTTTTAAATCTTTTATTTATTTATTTA